TCTAATATTTTATTTAGATTTTTAGCTTGTCCTATCAAAATGTCAATGAGTAGTGTGATTCATAGTCAACCTAACTGATATGTAAATAAACTTCTCAGCCACCAAATACCACAACTAATGAGGATGATTTAAAATATTTCTAAACAAATTTGGCTTGTATGCTAATAGTTTCCAGAAAGGGAGAAGCACCAATAAGCAATGAAAATCGATGTGTACTCTAGATACACAAGGCAAGAAGATTCTCAGTCTCTGAGAGTGGTATGGCTCTAAGGGAAGAAGGAAACTTTTTGATTTAACAATGTAACAGGGGTACAGAACCCCAGGCAATTCCCAACGCTCTTTTGTGTAGTTTCCAAAGTCATCTCCAACATCACCTTACGTTATGACGCAAGTTCCTGTCAATGTTTTGTGGAAATAATTAAAAACCTGCCTGGTAAACCCTAGATTTTCTTTTCTAAGTGCAACCCCCTCTCACACAAAAACACAGGCCCCAGCTGTTAAAAAGAATTACCTCACTTCTTTGCCGCTACAGCTCTGGAAACAGAAAAACTGCCTATCCCTGCAATAAAATCTTGTGAAAAATTCAGAGAGACTGTAAGCTCAGATTCTACCTCATATAACTATGTTTACATAGTATCTAGAATAATAAGCTTATCAATTTTTTTTAAAAAAAGCTTTCTTGACTGTTCACCTGAGAGAAACTGATATAAGTCCCAAGTAAGCTATTATTTACATGTATGGATTAAGACTTAAAGACTAAAATATTGTAAAACAAAGACTGCACTTTTTAAAAATGCTACATTTGATGAAACCTGAAAAGTGTAAGGAACCTATATCTGGAGAACAAATTTAGTTTCAAACTTAATCTGGCAGGCACACACTCTTTTCTTTACAAACTTGAAATTACAATGCACTGGCAGAAAGTAACTAATATTTAGCTTTGCATTTCAACATAAGGAAACTTAGCAGAAAATAAGCACCCTTTTTGTTTCCCTGAAACTTACTAATAAAACTAAAGGGGACGTACACACAAACACCCCAGGTGTACGTCACTGTAGCATAATGCCCTGAATGCTAGATATGGAAAATTCGCATAGAAATCTCAGTTCAGCTAAAGGCTCAGGCACTGAGCAAACTCAACTCATGTCATAAGACTGTCATGATTCTGAATTGTTTTGCAGAAAAGTTAGATACAAAGATAATACCTTGAATGTATAATTCGCAAGGCACTTTAATACTTTTCTACACTGTTCTCTGGTTTAAAAAATCTCTGCCTAGAATGTTTCTAGCAGAATCAAATCATCAGTGTAAATTGGTTAATAAAATGGGTGCATGCATTTAATACTGTCATTACAATACACAGCAAATTCCACAATATTACAAGTTCTGCAATGTCACTGACCTAATTGTGACATGCTATAAGCCTGTAGGATATGGTTTTCAACTGTAATCCTGAAGATTTTGAGCCTTAAAAATGAAACCAACTTTACAATTAAGAAAAACAACTTATTTCTTATAATGCACATCATATTCAAGTTTCTGAAAGTTTATTTGATGCACAGTATGTGGCAAGGTTAATTTTCACAGGTATGAACTGATGTTTCAGAGCCATGGTACTTATCCCTTTAAAAATCTCTCAAAACATAGAAATATAAAATCACACATACTTGTTATTTCGCAAACTACCTGTTTTGCAAATGGACATAATGTATTTCAATACATCAAATTATACCTGCTGCACAAGTTGCCTGTATGTTTCTGGGTTTACTGTAGTTCAAAATACTGGCATTGAAACCTGACACTCTTAAATTATTTGGATTCAGGAAACATGAAGGAATGTCTGTGCTATTATGAAATGCTCCATGTGTTAAATCAGATAGACTATTTGCTGGCCATCTGTTAAGAACATTAAGACTACTGGACAGTAAAAGGTGCCTTCACTGATGGTCCATACCCTATGGAATTACAAAAGAGATATGGCTACATAAGTTATTTATCAATAGATTCCTTTGACTTTTAACTGAACAATTTCAGAAAGCCATTTATTGAATTTTAGCATATTTATATGAAACTTATTTGATTTTTTTAACATTATATTGATGTGGGATTCTGTTTTACATTATATGCTATCCTTATAAAAGACTGCCATTTTGAAAGGCATATAAGAAAGACACTAAGTAAATATATCATTATAGGCTTTCAGGCTCAGCACAGTCAGATACCTTCAAGTATTTTAAAGGCCAGATTAGGAAACTGCCACAGAAATACTGTGAGCTATTTTATCTTATCATCAGGCAGTTTTCTAAACTCCCCAGTCTTCTCTGCAAAGCTACCTAAGCTTTTCTCCATGATCCCTGCAAATGTTGAGGAATAGTAACATCCAAACAACTATTTCACCACCCAGAGTCGTTCTACAGTGAGATGGGTGGTGACAAATTTGATATATAAAATAAAATATAAATAAAATAAATAAATGTCATGAGAAAATCAGCATTACCTGATTTGTACCTTTCTTAATCTGCCTTCCTAAACAGCAGCTAGGCAATGGATATTTGTGATGTTCATGCTATTGTCCCTCCTCCAGGCTGAGATTTCATTAGCTGTAATAGCTAATCTATCTTTCAACTCTTTTCTTTTCTGAAACCTATTTTTTCAATTCACTATTTAATAAAATATTCAGATTTTCTATGACTGATTGCCAATATGTGTCCTAAAATCTCATTTGCAGAATAAAAAATATACTTAAAGAATTAAAAGATACCCAAAAATATTTATGTTTTGAAAACAGCTAATGAAGTCCAACCCCAACTGAAAAAACAAGGAAAGGAGTGTACTATAAATTTAATTTAAGAAATATAAATGTGTTTGCAAAGATTACTGTTTTTCAATTTGCAGATTTCTACGAATTTATCTTAAAGTACTTCATTCAGAAAGCACTAGGAGCTGCATTATCAGGCAGTTTTCTAAACTCCCTAGTCTTCTCTGCAAAGCCATCTAAGCTTTTCTCCATGATCCCTGCAAATGTTCAGGAATAATAACATTCAAACAACCATTTCATGATAACACTAGAAAGCAATAGAACAAAACAAAGAACAGATTTTTTTGACAAGTCAATGCTTGAGGCGGAAATAGATTTTAATTTAAACATGTTTATGGCAACAAATATGGAATCCCCCCCCCACCTCCACCAGTTGAGATATCAGGTACTTAACAAAAATAACAAATATTTAATTTTATTATATTTACATCCCATAAAAGTTGAGCCATAATTTCAAAGTCTATTTTCATTTGGTTGTCCTAACTTTTAGAATCCAAGGACATGATTTCAGATTCATCAGGGAAAAAACATCCTTTTTTTTTTTTTTTTAAGAGGAAAGCACATCAATGAGTAACCATAAATAAAAGAAATAAGAATTCCTTTAAACACATAGACGAAGTGTACAATAACAAAACTGAACAAGCAGATATTACTACAGTGGACAACACAGAATCAGCACCTCGATGACAGTTCTAATAAGAAATCACAGCATGCTAATTCTCAGTATTTTTACAGAAGTGAATTTTATATCAAAGAGGCAATTTCACATATTTTGAAAAGGTCTGTGAGCAAGGCAACTACTAGAAACAGCAAATCATGCTCTCCATCATTTAAAAGTGAACTACTTTTAGCTGATAAATTGATGCCCACTGAGCCACAATTTACTTGTAACACAGCAATGAGAGCTCTAAATGAAAAACCTTGAGGTTCAATTCCAGCCCCCATCCCAATACGTTTTAGGGCTACACAAAGACACCAAAGTTTATATATTCCTGGTATTTGGAGAAGCAGTAACGATATTTGTAGAGAATAGACTGGGGAGAAGCATGACACAAAGAGGAGGTAGCAATTGCTGCTTGATGCAAGAGAACTTCTACATTCTACAGTGGAACAGGTTCAGTACATTATGTGATCCAAAACTTCCCTTGCAGAGGAATCTCCCATTACTAAATCTGTCAAATTACAGACACACAGGGCAAGTGTCACTGGACCCAATTTCAGGGAGCAGCTCAGCCCTTAAATAGGCTACAAATGTGCTGCAAGAAAGATGGGGAAATGAGCTATGTTATGCAACAGAAGTGGCCATTATAGCCAGATAATTATAGGGCTAAAATGACAGCTCTCCCTCGAAACAGCTTAGACTTCCTACAGAAACTAACATGTGTCCTCACTCAGGAGTGAGTAATGCACCACCTAAACTCTCACCATTAATAATAATAAACTTTACTATGGTCTGAGACCAGCATGCTCATTATATCCCTTTTCCACTTAGGGAAACTGAAGCACCCAGCTCCCAAAACAACAAAACAAGCAGACAGAGAGCGGGAGCAAACCAAGTCCCTCCTTGTTTTTACAGGGGAAGGAAACTTTGTGTGACTTCAGTTCCACAATATTAATTGGTACAAAAATGCAGTACAACACGGGGATCCAGAGACCAACGCCCGAAGGCTGAAAACGCTACCGGGTTACACGCTGGACCAGGGCTAGGGAAGACCCAGCTCCAAGCCCCCATTCAGCCACTGAATCTCCCTGGGGGACTCCGGGCCAGCCGCCCCCTCGCTCTCGCAACCCAGCCCTTCCTCGCGGGGTTGGCGTTTTTCCGGAGGAAGGGCTGCGTTTACCGCCCGGGCCTCCTGCAGGGGAAGCGGGACGGGAGCCGGACCCCCAGCAAAATAAATAAATAAATGCGGTTTCACGAGTCCTCGCCTTCACACG